ATGGGACAACATTGAGCCAAACTGAATGGGTATATTCCCAAATGATTTGTAATGGGACAACATTGAGCCAAACTGAACGGGTCTATTCCCAAATGATTTGTAATGGGACAACATTGAGCCAATCTCAAATGGGTCTATTCCCAAATGATTTGTAATGGGACAACATTGAGCCAAACTGAATGGGTCTATTCCCAAATGATTTGTAATGGACAACATTGAGACAAACTGAATGGGTCTATTCCCAAATGATTCGTAATGGGACAACATTGAGGCAAACTGAATGGGTCTATTTCCAAATGATTTGTCATAGGACAACATTGAGCCAAACTGAATGGGTCTATTCCCAAATAATTCGTAATGGGACAACATTGAGGCAAACTGCATGCGTCTATTCCCAAAGGATTTGTCATGGGACAGCATTGAGTCCGTTTTCATTTATCGATGATAAGAAATCAACACATAACAAAAAGACTTGCGTTTCTTTACTCTTTTAATATAATTTACTTTGTTGTAATATTCGATACACAATACAAAATACAGCAAGTTATTTTGTAAATGTGTTTACATGGCCATGTTGTTATTGACTAGCAACAGTAGCAGGTTCATTATACCATATTATACCATACTTTGGCTGATTCGAAATTTCACGTCTCTGAGGTATTTGGATTTCATCTCTTTTCCCTTTGTAATACTGCTTGTTCTCGTTGTATACCATCTCTTCTGAACCTAGTTAAACACCATAATATTTTTATTCTCTAAATTCGAAACTGAATGTCTTTGAAATAATTGATTAAGACAAAAACTAAATGTAGAACAAGTTTACGAGTATCCAAATCATTTTTGCAAAATAAACGTAGCATTAATAAGAAAGAAATAATTCGAAATTAAAAGTTTCAGCGATTTAAAAACTGGGGTTCAGAATTTTTTCTGGGTTCTCTATGTCGGTTCCATTAATTTTCTATACAAATGTAACTGTAATTGTCTAAATATACAAGCTCGTACTGAAAGACCTACCATATTTATTCAAAGGAGCTGCTTGGATCACAACAAGCAAGCAGGCAAAGGCTATTAGCAGCACCAATTTCGTGTTCATCTTTGGCTTCTCGGTCACTCCGGCAGTTCTTTCGATTAGCTTAGCTAGCTTTGAAATACGACGCGGAATAGAGGTAACTGATGACTCCCTGTCATTTATATAGTGAAGATTTCGAGCCTTTTAGGCTCCGCCTTTCGCGTTCAATAATTCTGATTGGATATTCATAAAGGTGGTGTACTTTGATTAGTCAAGGGTAGCTTTCATCGCTGTCACAAAAATATATGCTCAAGTTGTAATCCATTACATAGCCTGCGTAGCCGGTCCTCTTTTGGGGCCTTGGAAGAGAAGAGCCGGCTACGCAGGCTATCCATTACATAACGATTCATATCTTCTTTCAATTTAAATCTAATTATATTTTTTGCTCAGCAGTTTCTGCTATAGGATCACACATCACATGCAATCAATGTATAAATGAAACTGCTAAGTACAAAAACTCTTTCCAACCAACATTGTTTTGGGGCGGAGGGGTGCCGTTGTAAGGGAAATTAAATTTATTTTAAAGCAAGATATCCATACAAAAACCAAAATTCTCAACTTTTCTTTTTCGAAAATTGTAGGCATTTTTTCGGTTGCTCTATTATTCGCATCACTAGAGGAAAAGCATAATAGTAACACCAAATTTATTGAATATACTTCAGTTGTGAAGGCTCGATTCTGGCTGTTGATATTTTTGTAATAGTAAGAGCGGGTCCAGGGGTCCAGGGGTCCAGGGGGATACTGATAGGAAGATAAAGAAATGCCCATTTGAAGTTGAAAATCGTTTAAAAAAAATGTAAAACCTAAAAAGTGCTTTATGTGATGCCACATAGATAACAGTCAACCCCTCTTCCCCCTTGAATTGAAGTCGTTGTGAATTGGTCAGTAAATAGGTATGAGGGTTGCTATGTGAGCAATCTTGCACAGCCGTCCTTAGGATCTGTCACGCAACGTTTGCCTCCTCAAGACCAGTCAACGAAGTAAGAAGAAAATGAACACTAGAAACTCAAGACAACATTTCGTTAATACATACTTTATTCTATCTGTCATTTTACAGCGTTCACTTTTAATAAATATGCCGTATTTTTATGCTTTCACATGCTTTTTCAAAGGTGCTGGATAGCAAAAAGCAATCAGGTAGAGTAACACCAACGACAGAAACATGTGTGTAGCATTCATGTTCATGGACAGAATACGACCAAAACTCAGCAATACAACTTCGTGTTATAATTTGATTGCAAACGAGGTAACCGTGGGACTAGTTGGTGAAAACTGCCAATCCTGCATGCCTATATTTTTTTTTAAGAAACATCCCATCGAGTTTTTGAACAATATTTWAAAAAATAATAATTCCGATTGTTTATTTTTTACAGTTTCAAAAGGCCTTGAGCTTAAATTGAAACTAGCAAAATTCGCGTGCGTAATTGCGATAAAGCCTGTTGGGCGATAAAAAATAATTGGATGGGAATAAGAGAATGTTTTTGCTATGTTATGGTTTCGCCTGGAGAAGATGAATGTGAGCAATCTAGCACATATAACAAACAACTCACATCTGTCGCTTGACCATTCACAGTACACCAAGTATCAAATATTCCAATCAGAAGTCATGTAGACCAAGCCAGGGTTCATGGGGGTACAAATCTATAAAAGAAATGGGAAGCCCACAAGTTGACTTTAAACCCTACACAGTCTTCGTATTTTAAGACTCAAAGCAGTAGGAAGAATCTTTGATTGGGAAACTAAAGATGAACTCGAAATTGGTGCTTTTAGCAATTGTCTGCTTGTTCGTTGTGATCCAAGCAGCTACGTTCAAATCAGACGGTAGGTCTTGCAATATAAACTTGTATCTATTGATGGGTTGTAAGCATTCCCAAGAGAGTTAAAAGACAAAAACATGGCGGCCATTGTGGTGCCATTAACAATGGATGCTAATGAGAAATGGTGAAAGTCTTTTCCAGATTAAAATGATATATGTAGTTTTTTCCACGATATGTTTATATCATTGGGTCAGTTTTACAGCAAAGTTTTAGATAATCTATATGATCCATCACTTGTTAATTGTTATCGTTTATCATTAATTTTTTTTTTTTTTTTTTAAATTTTTTTTTTAATCAATGGAGTTTCAGAATGGAAGAAGAGAGATAAAACTCCAACAGAAGGTCTCAATTTTCTTGGTATAATTTGGTATGGAGGAGAAAACGCTACTTCAGGGTCAACGTATGTAATTAAAAGTAATTTAATAATTCAGTTTGCCATAAATCATTTGGGAATAGACCCATCCCATTTGGCTCAATGTTGTCTCACTACAAATCATTTGGGAATACACCCATTCACTTTGGCTCAATGTTGTCCCATAACAAATCATTTGGGAATAGACCCATCCCGTTTGGCTCAATGTGGTCTCACTACAAATCATTTGGGAATAGACCCATTCAGTTTGGCTCAATGTTGTCCCATAACAAATCATTTGGGAATAGACCCATTCAGTTTGGTTCAATGTTGTCTCACTACAAATCATTTGGGAATAGACCCATTCAGTTTGGCTCAATGTTGTCCCATTACAAATCATTTGGGAATAGACCCATTTAGTTTGGCTCAATGTTGTCCCATTACAAATCATTTGGGAATAGACTCATTCAGTTTGGTTCAATGTTGTCCCATTACAAATCATTTGGGAGTAGACCCATTCAGTTTGGCTCAATGTTGTCCCATGACAAATCATTTGGGAGTAGACCCATTTAGTTTGCCTTAATGTTAATTGTCCCATTACAAATCATGACAATAATTATTATTATTGATATTTGTAGTAATGGACAAGAAGATGACGGTCAGGATTATAACAAATATTTCTTTGGCAAATGATAATGTTTGCTATGAACCTATTGTAGTAGCAGGCGTAGTTCGTTACGAGTTCTGAATTCTGTAAATCTAAAAGTACAATAAAGTTGTAAAAATTTAACATATCATGTTAAGTCCGGCTTTTGTTTTCTCTTTTCCTTGCTATATTTTTTGTTTTACCCATTAAGAGGAATTTTTTTTTCAATGATGAGCAATAATGGCAAAAAGCGCAAAAAACTAGACTTTGCGGTATGAGTTTTGATCCCAATTTTTGTTTTGGGTAAACACTCAAAACATTTTTTAGACAGTTAGAAACTGATGTACTATGATAAGATGCCTGTTTGAAGCGGTATTTTCAATTGTACAAAGATGTTTCGTAGCATTTGTGTTAGGATGCTGCTTTGTCAGGCTTTTTTATAGAAAATATATGGGAAATAAGCAAATGAAGACCTACACCTCAGTTTCGAATAAAACTTTTGCTTTGGGTTAACACTTTGATTCAACTTTCAAAGGTCATTTCCACTGCCAAACAAGTTAAACTTTCTGAATAATAGATTTTAGCCTTTTACAACAGCCTTCCTTCAAGAAAATAGTTTTTGGCGCTCACTGCTTGAATAGGAAAAGAATCCTCTCTTAACATCAATCATTCACAAAAGTATGTTCATCGTATCTTTGTGTCCTAAACTGACATAAATTGACAAGTTTCTTCATTCTCTTATTCTGTTTTTCTTGCTTGAAGTTCCTTTAGTTTCTTTTATTCAAATTTAAAAAATCTTCACGAAAGCACTTTCCATATATTTGATGACACGGTTTAGGGTCCAAAGGCCGTAAAAAGTTCCACTAAAAGCCCTACATTTTCTTCTTATTATTATTTTGTTTGGTTATCTGTGAATTTGGCGCCACTTTTCTCGCAGAAACGCGTGCTCGCCCCTATTACTTTGTTAATCTTTTTAAACTACTGGCGTCCAGTGATGGTGATTCACGTAGAGAACGAGAAAGAAATCCTCCTAGTCACTACTATACTCCAATCATGTACTCAAAAAGATGTTTTGTGCTTGACTGCTTAAGTACAGTTTGGCTTTACGTGATCCAGTACCTAGCTGTGAAAAAAATCATTTGGGATAGACCCATTCAGTTTGCCTCAATGTTGTCCTATTACAAATCCTTTGGGAATAGACCCATTCAGTTTGCCTCAATGTTGTCCTATTACAAATCCTTTGGGAATAGACCCATTCAGTTTGGCTCAATATTGTTCCATTACAAATCATTTGGGAATAGACCCATTCAGTTTGGCTCAGTGTTGTCCCATTACAAATCATTTGGGAATAGACCCATTCAGTATGGCTCAATGTTGTCCCATAACAAATCATTTGGGAATAGACCCATTCAGTTTGGCTCAATGTTGTGCCATTACAAATCATTTGGGAATAGACCCATTCAGTTTGGCTCAATGTTGTCCCATTACAAATCATTTGGGAATAGACCCATT